CGCGTGTTATACTTCAGATCAAGCCACAAGCAATCTTGGCAGATATTAAAAAAATTGATCAGTAAGTAAATGCAAAAAAACAAACAAAAAACAACTGCTGAACAGGTATTGTACGAGTGATTTTTTTCTTCTTTTTTCTCATGCAGTTTCTCTTCTTTGTAGATTGAGAAATTTTACACCTACACCCTGTATATAAAAAAAAAACTTTTTGTAGTGTTAAGGACACCATAGTCAGAAGCCTCGCATTAATGTTCAAACCAGTCCAACGATAAGATCGACAAGAAAATGGTATTATATAGATATTTTTTAGGGTTGACCGATATGTGTGTATATTAGCCTTTTTTTAAATAAATGCTTTTGGCCAAAATGTTGTTACAGTATTTCTCTAGTTAACCTGTATCAGGTTCATTAGTCAGTCTGTGTTAAGTTTAAAATCTTAATTGCTAGGACTAATCCTTGTAGTTTTCTTTTTGTGTATCAGCCTTGTTGAAAATCTTTTAATCAAATTCATGATTGTAGCTCTAAAATCTCTTGTACATGAGAAATAAACCAAGTTATCAGGTCAAACGCTGGCACATAGTACATGTATATTTTTGTTATATATATTCAGATTTAACATTTAAAAGCTTTGTATGTTATGAAAGAAGTGATTGAACTTAACTTTGATTGTTTTTCCTCTAATGGCCGAGAAATTAGGATTGCTTTAAGCAGAAATATGGTATTGCACTCATAACCGACTGTCATTTCTGTGAAAAGAACCATAATAATCTTTCTGTTTGTTCATAAATGCAGACTAAAAATGATGGCCATATGTTGTTTACCATTACCAAACAGTTACTTATAATATGTTACTGTAGACAGACAATCAGTCATATTCCCAAGTTTTTCTTTTGGTTTCAAAACTGTTGTATGCTCAGACGATCTGACAAGATAAAGTATATATTGCTTTTCAACAAAAATAGGAAATAGATATCCATTGCGCACAAAATTGTTATTTACACCTATCGGCTTGTATAACATGGAGCCTGAAATGTACATATGCACAGGGATAATTGCTTTAGTGCTCTGTAATGTCCACGATACTGTTTTTTAGCCGGATATTGAGCAATTAAAAATGTTCTAGCTATATGATTAATGAGTTTATATTATGTGTACATGTATCACAACTTTCATGTTTTAATTTTTGTTACTTTCTTAAAATATTAACAAAGCCCAGTTCATTTACTACTTGTAAAATACTTGGTGAAAATAGGTTTGGAAATCATCTCTGGGAGAAAAAAATAACTATTTCAAATCCAGTCATCACTGTTGATATTTGTACATTATTGTTAGGTAATGCGGTGCATACACTACTTTCATTTATTTGCTCGATAGTGATGTTCGTTTTGGGGAAATTATGAACTGTTTGTCAATTTTACAATTGCGATCATGATGTATCTACTGTATACGGATAAGTTGTTTTCTGTTTTGTACACTTAAACATGTAAGGTTATAAATGTTGAATCACCAAGCTAGTGCTCTTTGTATTATGGTTACTCAGTTGAAGATAAATTTTGAATTGTGCCAATGTGATTAAATGTTGCTTTTGATTCTGAACCTGATCCCATTCTAGCTCTTGTGTCTCTTTGTTTTGAATGTCTCACATTGTTTGTCACTGTGGTGTGCGTATGAATGTAACTATGTAGGTGTGTTGAATGGATGGATGAGAACTACAGGAAGTCGAGGGGGCTTGATACAGTATGTGACCCAAACCCAGTTCACCTTTGATTTCCTTTCCCTTTTTTGGCCCTAATACCCAATATTTCATCTTAGAGCCCAAAAGTTGATTACATATTCTGAAACTCTCTTCTGGCTCTTGTCAAACATCAGGCCCATAGTTATGTACTATTAATTTATCCACACCTTGGAAGAGAAGGTGACCAGGGGGATGTTTCACAAAGGCTAAGATCGACTTACTATGACAGGCTGTTTATGCCACTGTTTGCTCTCACCGTTTACTGGCATTGGTCTCTCAAGGGACGTTCAAATCATAGTCACAAATCTACAGAATTTATTTTTTGATAATTCACTATTGAAGGAAAAATATCTAAAGATCATAATGGTGAGAGCAAATAGTGGCATGAACAGCCTGCCATAGTTAAGTCCACCTTAAAGTTGATCTTAATCTTTGTGAAACACTCCCCTGGTATAGTCATTGGAAAGATAAGTGGTGAAGAAGGGATGTGAGGTGTAGATAGATTGTAGATAGATTGGAGTGAATGGGTGTAGATGAATAATGATTGGAAATATACATTGGATAGAAAGATAGAGGGAATGTAAGATGTCTCATAATTACAAAGGTAGATAGAAAAAGAAGGGGTGTGAGAATAATGATTGGAATGATAGATTAAAAAGAAGGAATAGGGATGTATTGTAGCAATGAGGAAGATAGATATAGAAGAAGAGGTGTGACATGTTTAGTGATTGGACAGATAAAGGGAAAGAAGGATGGAAAAGAAGAAACATGAGATGAACAGTTCAACTCTGCATAACTTGAAGGAGCACAAGTCAAACTTTCCTCAATTCAAAGTAATAATTGTTTACCAAAATGGTCATTTACTACTTACTAAGATGAATTCTGTGCAAGTCAACTTATGCAGAGTTAACTGTTTTATGCATGGAAAGAGATGGAAAAGAAGGAATATGTGATTGGAAAAATAAATGGTAAATTAAAGAAAGAATATGGGAAAGATAGATGGTAAAGAAGAAATATGGGATATGATAGATGGTAAAGAAGAAATATGGGATATGACTGGAAAGATAGATGAAAAAGAAGGTTGTTGAAAATTTAATCATTGAAATAATTGGAGGATAAAATGGGGAATGGCAGATATACAGGCAAATTTTTGTGCCCCTAGGTACATGGAGCATTGCAAAACATTTTACATGTGCACAAGTGGTTCCTGTTTGGAAAGTGAGAGGGAATGGACCTCATTTTATTCTATCTACCTTCAATATTTGAAAGAAATTGACAGCTCAATGTTATAGCTCAGGATTCTTATTAATTTTTAAAATCAAGTGAATAAGAAAAGATATTAGTCTTCCCCCCAAAAAAAATTCTCATTAAAAAAAAAAATTATAAGAGCTCGGGAGAGTAAAAAAAAAAAAATCATCACCTTTTTGGCAACTTCTTTGTAATATGATTTATCTACCGGGTACTGGTATGTACAATTTTCTTGACACTTGAGTCCACAGAGTCATTACACAGAGCTGCAAACCATTCCGTTTTTGCCGGAATTACTGTGTTTTCCTCCAAATTACGTTTTTACGTTTTTTCTTCATAAAATACGTTTTTTATTTATTTTTTACAGCAGGCAACTGCCCTAAAATGGTTATTTGATCACAAATTCAATAGAAAACTAATTTCAAAACATACTTGAAGAGAAAAATATTCTCAAAAAGAATAAAATGCTGATAATACCAAAATAACCACCAAAACAAATTCCTGCTTGTATGGAAAAAACAGCATGATGAATGAACATTTCTGCATTGGAAGTGTGTCACGTGTGTTTGTAAGTTTCGTTTTGATGGATTCCTTTCTTTTGCTTGAAATTCCTTTTTTTTTGCCATCATGATTCCTTTTTTTGGTCGCACAAGGTTGGCAGCTCTGATTACAGATGCTGGTATACTGATAGGTGCCACTGATTCTAAAGGAAACGAGGCTCTTTTCAAGTTTGTGGTATAAACCAATCAATATTCCTAGCCCTGTCCCATTGGATTGATTATGGACACATTGGTGACAGAGTGCAGATACTAAAAAAAGCTAGCATATATATATTTTTGGCATTATGTAGATTGTGCCATTGATTTTAAGGATTTAAAGTTGTCCTGTACATTTTACCATCAATTCAAAGGGAAAACCGAGCTATTTTCTGGTTCCCTGGATATTAATTAATCCAATTTATTTATTTACAGAGTGCAGACACACAAAAAAGCTAGCATATATTTGTTGACATTCTATAGATTATGCCATCGATTTAAAGGGAAAACAAATAGACTCCCCCGACCTAGCCTGTATATATCCAACAATATCCCATTTGCAGGTTGAACTGCCTGCGTTATTTTACACGACGTGAGTGTTCCTAGGTGATCGGCATGTTTCTAGTTGGGTTGACTGGCGGTATAGCATCGGGGAAGAGCACCGTATCTAACGTGCTCAGAGACCTGGGGTGCGTTATCATTGATGCTGATAAGATTGCTAGAGAAGGTAAGTCGATCGTGGAATCGGAGACCACTCCCCGATTGTGCTGGTACACACTAGGCCTGTCCTCATCAGCTCAAGATTGCCAAATATCCCGACCGTAAATTATCCAATTAATTTGCGTCTTTATCATCCCAAACATATCTTGGGATAGTTTGCAAAATATCCCGTCATTTGTCCGTTGCGTCTTCACCAACCTGAAGACTCCTACTATGCGCGAATGCTGAGCAAAATATCTTGAGCTAATTTCTCGAGCTTGAGTTTTAAGTTTCGAGGTGATGAAGACGCGATTTGTAACTTCAGGATTATTTCCCAAATCAGAAAAAGCGGGCAATCTCAAGATGATGAAGACGGGCCTACTTGCTTATGTAATTTGCAGTCTACAGAAGTAGAAAGAAGATACCATAACCGTTTGATGGAATGAAGCGCGCTACAATCGATACAGGCTTTCTTAATTCACGATAATTTCAAAGTAAATTTTTAGGGTTTGGGTGGGGAGTATTAAAACTTGCATGCATGTCCTTGACATTGATTTGCATGGTTTGTTCAGTATAAACAATCTTCATACAGTGGAATTTCGTCATAACAAGGTCCTTGGGACCAAGGAAATTACCTTGTTATACATGTATCAGGAATCTTATTATCTATCGGGGTAAGAAAACGGAAGTATTTAAAGAGCTGGGACTAGCAAAATCACCTTGTTATATCAGAGCGCTTTATACTAAGGTTCCACTGTAGTTGCTAAAATATACTGATACACTGCCTGCAAAGAATGGTTGAAAAGCAAGAAACTTATTTTAGTGAGTACAAACAAAAGATATTTTTTGAAAATAGTTTGAAGTAATATGAAATTGATAGAATTCAGTCTGATAAAAAAATGTTCATGAGAGTGTTAATATTTATAACTCCACTTTTGAACTTGTCCTGGCCATTGATAGCCCTGAAAAATAAGAAGTTAAAATGTATTGCTAAAAGTGAAGGAGCAGATAGGAAATGTATTGAGAAAAAAGAAAGTTTTTAAGAATTTAATTTGAAACGATCACGTATAGAATTGTTTGTGGAAATATATATATTATTGAATGTGCCTGGCTTCAAAGAGGTTTAAAAATAGATTTTTTGTGAAAATTTTAGCACTGTATTGTAGAAAATCAAACTACAGCAGGGATATAAGGGCTTATCAATTGAAATCCCTGTGTAATAAACATATAGTCCTGCAATGTTAACAGTAGGGGCCGGGGGCCAGCGGGATGAGCTCCAAGTACATCACCCTTTGACAGATATCGTTGATCTAAGCGATCCATTCGTAATATCCTTTGCACAGTTGTGCAACCTGGTAAACCTGCATTGAAGCGGATTGTCCGTCATTTTGGCAAGTCGGTTCTTCGAGACGATGGGACGCTGGATAGAGCCAAGCTTGGATCCATCATATTTGCTGATTCTGAGAAACGGAAGATACTGAACCGCTGCACCCATCCCTACATACAACGGACGATGCTCTGGGAAGTCCTGACAAGCTTTCTCTCTGGTAAGTTGGTGGAATTTGGACAGTAATCCAAACTTTATATCAAGTTGCACAGAGTGAAAGAAGAGACATACCGGTAAATAAAACTTGCTATGGTATCGGAGAAGACGTAAATGAAACTTGCCCCAAAAATGATCAAACAACTCTGAAGATGTATGAAGGCAGAAATAAATGTCAATATTTTTAGATTGGTGTTATGTAAAAGCAGTAAATCACATTTTTATTTTGTTTTTTTGTAAAGAATGAAAGTATCGGTACATGTATTAGCAAACTCTAGGAACATTTCAGTTTTTTATATGATATAAAGGGCATGCTTCAAAACATAAGGCCTTGATGTTGAAGTTGAGATCGGGACCCTGTCTTATAAAGAGTTGCTATCGATCACTCTCCCATCGCTTATGTCTATACATGTAGCTATGATTGATATCAATCACAAATAAATTGTGAGTAATCACCACTGTTTATAAGACGGGGGCCCTGACAGCCTTTTATGAATATGTTCTTTGTGTTCATTCTGATCATGTAGGACACCATTATGTGATCTTGGATGTCCCTCTGCTCCTAGATGGAAGTGCTCTGAGAAGGTTCATCAAATATGTGCTTGTGGTGTATTGGTAAGTACCGGTACAATGCTTTCATGTATAAGAGAAACCAGAAGTTAAGATGGAAAAGGGGGGGGGGGTAGCTTGTTGTTCAGTGAACATGTGAAATTCTTTTACAGCAAAGGGAAGACAAGCACATTTAAAACGAGTGATGCAAAGGGCAGCATTGTTTTCTGTATAGTCCATTACAAATGAATTGAAATGCGAAGTGAATCATTAATTTGCTATGCATTTTAATTTTTTAATTGTATACAGCGATGAAGCGACTCAGCTGGATCGTCTAATGTCTCGCAATGATCTAACCCAAGAGGACGCCCTTCAAAGAATCAACTCGCAGGTTCCACTTGAGATCAAGAAGAAACAGGCCGACTTTGTGATCGATAATAACGGAAGCTTGACTGCCACAAAACAACAAGTACTCGAACTATACGAGAGATTAGAGGGTTCATACGCACACTGGAAATTGAGGTCATTCTTGTTGGGGAGTTTAGTTCTTCTTGGGGGTGGTGCTTACAAGTTATATTCATTCCTATGAACTTTGGGGATAAAAAGCATATTGAAATGATGGTCCCTGTGTTAAGTCTATGGGAATGAAAAAAATCAATAGCCAATGGGTTAAGATTTAAAGATACATGGGAATCTCTTTATGAAGGACACCGTTTGAACCAATATACAAATAATTCATGTATGCGAGTGCTTTATTGAATATGCACTGCACGCAGGTTAAGTCATAATGGGGTAATGAACGAGACTTGTCTAGATCATTATCCGGTTTATAGCAGTGCATCATATCGTAAAGAACTCCATAGATATAAACTCATTATTTGCAGTTTGTTTGTTCCACATTTACATCAAAAAACGATTTTTAATTCTTTTTCTTATACCGGAGTGTTGGCTCAGTCAGTAGAGCGTCCGCCTCACAACCGGGAGGTGAAACCCCGGCCGCGTCATACCAAAAGACGTTAAAAGATGGGAGTTGTTGCTACCTTGTTAGGCGTTCAACATTAAGGGATAGAGCAACGTCGATCTGGCGCTGCTCAGTGGCTGCCGGGCTATCGATCAATTGGGCAAAAAGAATTTCCGTTTCGGTTTAATAAAATTTGGAGTGGACTATTAGGCTATTATTATTATTATTATATTATTATAAAAGTGTTTAAGCGTAGATTACACCAAAAAAAATTAAAGATTTCAAATCAAGTATAATGAACGGAAAATAGGTACTTTTCGAAATATATAGATATATGACAGGCAAGGTAAAACAATGTGAAATGTGGGAAGCCTAAATCAAAAGCATAGCTTGCATGTGAATAGGCTCCCGTTCTGAGTAACACAATATAGTAGTTCTAAATTTAAAAGGTATTATAGGAGGCGAAAACAAGTTTGTATATCTTGTAGAATGTGATTCAGATGTATGATTTAGGAAACATCTTCAGAGAAAAATTGAATTTAAGGATATGCAAATCAATATTTATATAGTGTTGTATGACCTTGAGTAGGATACAAGGGTATATCCAACAAGCTGATGAGAACATTTCACGAATCAGCATGATGAGTGAAATATTCTCAAAGCGAGAGCGATACACATTTGTATCTCATGAAAGGAAAGCCATTCAACTTAAAGGTAAAGACCAGTATTTGAAACGCCCCAATTTCAAAAAATGAAATGGAAGCTCTCATTACCAATCATGTGAAAGAATATGTTTTGACTAATACATGATGATAAAAAATTTGCTGGGAAACCGCCTACTAATTCATATATTTGGTAAATTTGTTTCTCTCATGGTCTGTGAGAGATATAGGGTAGTCCCATATACATCTTTCCGTGTATAGTGCTTGTAACTTTACGAAGAATGGGCCAAATTTCTTATCATTTTGATGATTCCAGAACCTTGCAGATGCTAGATGATCAACCTTTTCTGATCGATTCCACAACGTTTCTTTCACAATGCAATCGCATGACCATAACTGGTCTTTACCTTTAAGTATAATTACTAATTGTATGAAACCTATTACCTCAATAAATCATTATGTTTTTGTAATTAAATTTAATTAATTAATTTCAGGGATTAATTGTTGTTGGTGCTCACCCAGGCATTTTCCAAGGGCTTCTCGCATACATGCACATCCATTGTTTTGACCTTTGTGTATTTAAAGGGGGTATTCACCGTTTTTACGCGTTCACGTACCCCAAACCATGAGATGCCTCGACAAAACCATTTGGCCTTTTTTTTTTGGTCCCTATTTTCATTTTCTTATATATTGCAAGTACTTATTTATAATATATATCTCTTTGTATTGTTTTATCGAAAATGGAAATGAAAATGGAAATGATAAAATGGATTGAAATTAATTCCAGGAATCATGCGCAAAGCGTTATGCTACTGGCACAAAAGTTTGTATGAACAATAATTTTGTACGAATCTCCGTTTTTCCATTGTCTTCCCGAATTTACATTGTCTGAAAATCGTTCGTACGGCGTTCATAGCAGTTCATAATGGCATTTGTGACCGAGGCTTAAGATACACCGATTTTTCAGTACTTGTAAAAGGTTTGTTAAAAGAAATCATGAACTATTAATATTATATGCAATGCCATGTGTCATCATTCAAGTAATACAAAATAATTTATTTTTGATACCTGAAATATTGTCTTGTTGTCCAAATCAATGTGTTGGTACAGATATATGTATGTGTGTACAAGGCAATATGAATGCTGCTTCTTTCTATAGCCCACCCCCTCTTTGTCTCTCTCTCTCATTGTCTCTTTATCTGTCTTTCTGTCTGTCTCTTCCTCTCTCTCTTTATCTGTCTATCTGTCTCTCTCTCTGTTTCTCTCCAGTCATAACCATATCTATCTATTGTATAAGATCGAGATAGAGCCGTAAACAAGGTGTGGAAGAGAGTGATTAAACTTTATATAAAATGTGGAAATGTGCTATCCATCTCTTTCCCTCTTTCTCTCTCTCAGCCTTCTCTCACTATATCCATTTTTCTTGCACTCTTTCACCCTCTGAGACTTCTGATTTTTCTCACTTTCAATTAGGCATACCTTAACCATGTGCATAATTGTATAAGATGAAGTTTGAGCCATGAATTAAAGTGAGTGTGGAAGAGTGATTTAACTTGGTACTAAATGTTTATTTAGTTTATCTATTGGTGTGTGAGAGATAAACGCACATGTGCGTATAGTCCCATATACATTTTTCTGTGTACAGTGCTTGTAACTTTACAAAGACTGGGCCAAATTTCTTATCATTTTGATGATTCCAGAACCTTGCAGTACCCAATTGATCAACCTTTTCTGATCGATTCCACGTTTCTTTCACAACGCAATTGCATGACCATAACTGGTCTTTATCTTTAATTGAAGTTCTTTGAAATTGAAAACACAGACAAGCACATGACTGATCAGCTGTAACTATGGTTCGGAGCCATATTGGCTTTTACTTCCACAAGCTTGCATTGTAAATTTGTAATGTAGCCAAATTTATGCATACCGGTATGTCTTTGTGACGAGTCTTGGAGAATGTACCTCAAAAGTCAGAATTCAAATGGAAACATTAGTCGTTGCTAGGTAGGACAAACATCATGGCTCGCCCTACCTAACAACATGTAATATATGCAATTTGCATTCTGACAAACAGGTGAATGAAATATATTGTATTGAGGCACAAGTAAAAATTTGGTTACATTACGAAAATTTCCTATTGCAAAAATGTACACATACCACACACTTTTTAATTTTTCAAGAATAGGAATGTTACTATAAAGGAAAATTTGCTCTAAACGACAAAATCAGATTCGCATATAATGTTTTAATTGCACCTAAATTATATCCTTGCCCTTGCAGAATATTACAACTTCATTGCACTTCGTTTCAATCAGAACAAGAACATCATCATATTATCACATATCAATAGAAATATGATGTATATTAAACTTTTAGGATACTTCTTTAAAGATGAAAACAAATGCATGAACAAAATTATATACAAATACATATTCATTAATGACCAAGTAATACGGTACCCCTTGATGACTAATACACATGTATGATGACTGCAGAATCATACAATGTATGAAAAATCAAATATTTGAGTTGATATTTAAGGCTACAAATGGCTCTCCATAATTTTTAAGTCCAACTTAGAGTTAAGTTCAACTTAGGATCTTTGTGAAACACCCCCCTGCACATGGAAAATGATATACCGGGGGGTAATTATACTTGTATACAATAGTCAGCATGATATACAGAGAATTATGACAAAGAATATTCTAGTGAAAGCTTTGGTAATAGGGAGGACTCACAATTAACAGCCCCCCCCCCCCCCCCCCCCAACACCAGCTTTTTTTTGTCCACTTTTTCTCATAATGTTGAGTGCAATCAACTAATCACTGGCGTTGTGGATTGTGAATCCACTGTATACCATAAACAAAGACGTAAAATATATAATAAATACATTACGGCTGCCGTGATCAAGTCTGCAAAATATTTCTCAGTGAATGCAATATATAGTTTAAATCTAGTTTGAATCTAGTTAGGGTGCCACAAAACCAAGAAATAGTCGCCAGATATGACTTCTTTTAAATAAAAAAATCTGATCAACAGGTAAGTTCATGAGATTAGAACTCCTATATTGAACTCGAGATCAGACAAACTCAGATCTACAAAACTCTGCCAAAATACCAGTTGGATTCCATATGGACCAATAAAATTAATCTGAATCTAGGTGCTTCCACAAGTTGGAATTACATGCAAGAAAACTATCTCAGGAAATGCTAACTAGAATTTGACCATCGTGACCAAATGCACCTTTATTGAGCTCTCACAGGAAATCACACAATGCAACTATTTGGTAGTTTTGTGGTGCCTGGTCACATGTTCATAAATGTCTACAGCTGCCCATTTATACCAAACATGCTCGTACACATATAATGCATAGTACACTGTCTAATCGCAAATCCCCTGACCTAGCAAATGGCTATTGTAAAGACATTCTAAAGTGTTAGACTAACCGTTGTAATGATGTATTTATACTGGTACCTGCTTCCTAGAATACAATGCCAAGAGCATTCTCATAGTCTTAGGTTACACTTCATGTGCACTCATCCATAAAAACATAAATATAACCATAACAAAATATGAATACAAAAATAGAAATATAACATTTTATTTTCATTGGAAAGACACAATTCATTATAATTTAAGGCACTTTGCATGTTTACAAGATGAATTTGAGCTTATACACAATGACGGCACACATAATAAAAAACCTTTATACTGATGCATGGATATAGAGTACCGGAGTGCTAACGTCATATTCGCTCGTCGTCCGGGTTACTGGTTCTAAACAACAGAGCAAGCGCATGAGGTTCACCCCCATATCATTCAAGCAACGGGCTGGAGCAGGGCAAATTCAGTGTTTGTGGCTGGTGGGAGATATCACCACACCATTGTTTAGCACAAAACTACTTGGAACCAGTAACCTTGAACAATTGCCTAAAGCCCATAGCACAGTAAGAAACTTACCGGTATTTGAATTGCAAAACTTTGGTATTCTGTCAGTTGCTTGGTAACATTGTTCAGATGAGAGATAGTGGTGCTAAGGTAGTGACTTCAATGCTAGATGTACAATTAAAGATAATCTGAAAATGTGAGTGAAAACGGACCATTATTCATGGTACAAATTGGGAAAAACTGATCTGATCGATTCCTTAATTCTCCCAACTATGTTATTACAATTTAATTACATTTTAGGTGAATGGAAATCTCACAAAGCAATAAAATGGCTCTACATTCCATTCCAGACATTTAAGTGTTGACAGATTTTTTATAGCCTGTTTTTTGTCTTTTTTTTCATGGAAAAACGGTTGGGAAAATTCAAAAGTGATTGGGAGAATTTACTGTTAATCACTGGTAGAGGGTGTCGTACATCGACGCCTTCAAAGAAAACCATAGATATCTTTGTGGTTTGAGAATTTTTTCTGGATTTTTTGCATGTCAGAGGGTTAGTACAGTAGAAGGAATAGAGTAAGTAACATTTTATTCAAAAATTAAGCAATTTTTTTCATCAACCTTCAACAATGTTACCAAGTCACTTTAATCGTATTGCATCATAAAACTTCCGCGACCTTGAACCACCTTTTAAAATTCATGAACGTGTCATGCACTGGAAAGTTTGTGATGAACGGACACTAAGTTTTGCTACCTGCAACTGTTTCAAGGATAGAAGTCGTGCTTGAATACCAGGGGGGGTGTTTCACAAAGATCTTAAGTTGAACTTATCTCTAAGTTGGACTTAACAATTATGGAAAGCCGTTAGCATCTTCGAAAATAGTATGTAAAAGTCATTTTAAAAGGCATAAAATGTTGATTCAAATCATTCTATTTTCTATTATCATGGCAAATGTTCTTGATGTGGAATTCATGAAAAGTCTGAAATACTTGAATTTTGGTTTGGAATATATTGTATTCTAAGGCTACAAATGGCTCTTCATAATTTGTAAGTCCAACTTAGAGTTAAGTTCGACTTAGAATCTTTGTGAAATACCCCCCAGGCTTTATTAGACATGACCGTTCTTCAAACATGGCGTGAACTTTTCCATGTGGACCAAGTGTCCTCTTATCTTGTACGAATACACCATGTAGCAACACGCGCCGATTATGATGAACACGACGGATGTGATTACCAGGTAGCCGAACGTCTCTGGACATGGAAGGACTATGACCAGGACAAAGTGGATCATGTCGAACGAGCACTCTAGCGCCCTCTGGACCCCATTGAAGACGCCCCGCTCCGTCTCCACCACGTTCTCCTGGACCAGCTGGGTCACGACAAGGTCGTACGCCCACAATCCTAGACTCGGCAAATGAAAAGACATTTAAGACATTTAAAGGCATCGTTTAACAATGTTTCCAGTTTTACAAATCTGATATGTATGGCTCTATGTGTAATCAGTGTCTGTGATATGGTATAATATTGAAGCCCTACCTATCTTTGAGTGACCGGTTTTACCATTCTCATTTCCACCAATAGACTGTAGTGTTATAAAAAATGTTGCGAAACTTTTTTTGAAATTTCGATTTTCAATCATGAATATTAATATTGATACAAGTCATGGGATTCCTGACTGACCTAAAGGTTTATAATTATGAGTGCAGCATGAGCAAAAATCCAGGATTTTGTTTAGAATTTGAGGCAAAGATACCCAATCCCTTTAAAGGTAAGATGAAGGTTGATTCTATTCACTCATATGTAGGGATAGTGATTTTTCATTTGAAAAAAAGACCTTTTCTGTTTCAGAAAATCTAGTATTCCATTTCAAGCTGAAAAAACAGAATTTTGTCTTGCTGTAGATTTTGTACACATGAAAAAACAATTTCTGTTTACATGAGATTGACATATAAGAAATTAACCTGTAGGATACAAATGATTTTATAAAGGTTCTAAAAAAATAGGACACTGTAAAACAAAATGTTCATTGCAATATTCAAATTATGAAATGTAAATGTAAGTTGCAAAGAAAATATCTTTTGTAGCTTTAGTCCCATTTTTGTTGCTATTTTAGAATTATTTTAAGAACTAACCTATCCTTGATAACACAATCCCTGTGAAGAGTACAGCAGCGGACACGAGAGACGTCTGTTGTTGATCAGTGCCTGTGTATTTACACTGCACCCTGGACAGGTCTGGGGCTTGAGTTGTACCTGTACCGACAGTAGGTGGCGCCATGACCCCCACATGAGGGGTCGTCAAAGTGAGAGGTGGAGAACTGCTCTGACTCTCATCTGCAAGTATAATGTACAATATTTGTCTACCAATAAGGTTTGAAGGGTTGCTGATTTCTTATAATTATCATTTTTATGTCCTGGGGGGTGTTTCAATAAGGATGAGATCGACTTTAAGTTTGACTTAACTATGGAAGACTATTCATGCCACTGGTTGCTCTCGCTATTGGTCTCTCAATTGTGATCTTTCGATAATATTTTTTCCTTCAATTAAAATGTAAATTCTGTAGATTTGTGACCAAGATTTATACGTTCCTTGAGAAACTAATGCTAGGAGGGGTTAGAGGAACCAGTGGCATGAATGGCCTGCAATAGTTAAGTCCAACTTAAAGTCGATCTTAGTCTTTGTGAAACACCCCCCTGTAGCGTCTATTTTTGTACCTGCAGGATCTTTTCTGTGGTTTTATCTCACTGTATCAAACAAGATAATCAATTCAGATTAATAATGGTCCCGCACTTTGTCGCAGTGAATATCTTGTGTTAGATTCCAGTTTTTGAAAGTATATTGAGTGTTTCCTTCTCAACCATGTATGTTTTATCGCGTTTACGATTGCAACCGTGATTCACATACAGTACATGATTTCAACTGGCCAATTGTGTCGTCCCTGTAATCTTAAAGCCCCACTGCACTACTTAAAGCTACTTGCACCCTCTATACAGCCAACAATGCCTAAGCGGTACCTGTTTATCCCCATGATGCCCCTTTTTCTTATTGTAATTGAGAGCTGATTTGATGAGATAACCACCTGCCAGTGACCTTGCAGGGAGGTCTAATCCCTCCTGGCCAAACTAGTACAGACGGGCTTTAAGTTGAACGGACTTCCTAGGGACACGCAGGGACCATGTATGTATACATAGCACTGTGAAGGAAATATTGGTCCAAATGGTGGACAGTTCACATACGGTAGAAATCTCCAGTTACCAATTGTGCTGTTCCTTTCGTTCAAATGAACGAACTTCTTGGGGACTCGCAATGACTATACATGTATACGTAGTACTGAGGAGGAAATCTCAAGGATAGTTCACATACAGTACATGATTTCCACTTACCAATGGTGCTGTTCCCATAATCATAGATGAAAGGAGATCCTGGAGCCCATAGTGATCCTACACACAGCATCAGGAAGGCTATCTCAATCCCAAGGGAGTAGAGTCCAGATCTCACTAGACCGATTCTTCTTCTCATGACTGGGTAAAGCATTGTTCCGAAGATACCTTTTCAACGATACGGTGCAGGCAAAGAATAATAATAATAATGAAAGATTTTAAAAAGAAAGAGAAGAGGAGGAGGAGGACAAGAAAAAGAGGACAAAGAAGAAAAAGAAGGAAGAGAAGAACAAGAATCAGATAAAGCTTGAAGGCCATTGAAATCAAAATTTTATTAATCATTTGACTATTCAAATCAGTGATCATTAAAATTTTAGATGTGTGAATGTTTATATTCTGTAGCCTTCCTGCATCTAATGTATGTTAATTATGCATTCAATAGATTTGTTTGATTTCGTATATTATCTGTATGAATTATATATTCACTTGAAATAGTGTATCAAACCATATAATGTTCATGAAAATGTATGATGAAAAAAAAAAAAAAAAGATGCAGAAACCAATAAATCAATTCATATCAATGCTATTGCGAATTCTTCCCAAATCGGATTATAGTCAGATCGTATACTGTGCGGTGTCCTTTGGCAAGATATTAATCTACATTTGCCACTCTCCACCCAGGTGAAGTAAATGGGAGGGAAAGAATTCCTTGAATGCTGTAGCGCCTTATCATGGTGGCTCAGTTACAGCCAGGGTAATGATATGATACTTTATATTAAGCGCAGTAGAGTATATTCAAATATTGTAGCTGCACTATAAGAATTGACGTATTATTATTAATAAAGTTAGCTTTACCTGTAATGGATCCAAGCGCCTGTAGGATTCCCATGGCATACTCTGGCATACCTTGTGAGTAGCCATAGCCCAGAGTGATGGAATCAAAGCCCAGGACAGTCATGTAGAGGAAAGCCATACCTAGACCGGCCCAACACTCCACGTAGGATTTGTACACCTTCCAACCGTCGAACATATCCTACGGTAGAGAGAAATGAAAGACGGTTTAGAAGTAATAGTGATCGATATTAATGGTGAACATTTGTAATGTGCAATGTCTGTCAAAATTGACACTCCTACAAGCTTACATATTTCTATTTGAGGTCAGGCTTCAAGGAAGGACTTAGTTTACCCTTCTTCCAGAGGGCATATCCCACAGGGTGGTTTGTTAGGACCACAGATATTTTACACATGGAAGTCAGAGACATTGCTAGAGGAGGAGTTGGGGGGGGGGGGGTTTGACAGCTAACTTGTCAGCAAATTGGCCGACACCCTCCTTATCAAAATGGTCTGGGAAAAGCTCTGGTTGAAGGTACACATTGGCAGTTTATAGCTTGCCATTGCCCTTTTCAGAAAGAATTTGACCTTTGCTCTATTTTCTTCTGAAGTCCTTGATACTTGATATTACCACCAAGGTGATAAATCTATTTAAAGTGGGCATGGTTGAAAGCTTCACTGTCTCACCTTAAGTTTTGCAGTCACTCTACCGCAGCAGCCTCCATCCTTCTTTGTTGCCATGGTTACTGGAGTAGATGGTGCAGGGGCCGATGATGCTGGAGTGACTGGTATCTCTGTAAACTCTCTCTCCCCATCCTCCTCCCTGGTCGTCATAGAGGCCGGGGTGGTTGGCTGAGATGCTGATGCCGATACGGAAGCTGATACTGGTGATGTTGGAGTGGCTGGTGGTACCTCGGTTAACTCTTTCTCCCTATCGTTCGATTCTTGGGTATCGCTTTGAGCTTCGATGGCTGGTTCGCCCAATTCAGAGTATTGACCTGTGACCTCTTGCTCAGGAAGAGCTTCATCTATGATTTAATAAGAAGCATAACCAGCAGGTGTTAGCCAAGAGTTAAATTGGATATGTGATCTGACGGTTAAAAGGGTCATTCAAAAATGGTCACTTTATTGGTAGTATATTAAAGCCCCCACTGCACTACTTACAGCTACTTGTGCCCTCTACATGTATATAGCAAACAATGCCTAATCGGTGACCGTTGGTCCCCCATGGTTCCCTTTTTCTTATGTTAATTGAGAGCTTATTTGACCATCAGTGACCATGCAGGGAGATCTAATACCTCCTGGCCAAACTAGTGCAGATAGGCTTTAAACTGAACTGTCAAAATGGTTTTCCCTCAGCACATCAAAGTAAATATGTTGCATAGAGGAGATTCAATTCATGTTCGGTATTATTGCTAACTAAGTGAGATGACTGAACCTAATTTGCAAGGATTTCTAATCATAATTAGAACTCCCATTCTATTCAAACTTAGTCCGCATATTATATCTGTAAATTCATGAAAACTAATGAAATACAGGAGGCTCAAAGACTTGGTGGTACAGCAGTGGTCTCATAACGGGAAGGCCCCTGGTTCAAAACCAAGTTAAATGCCCTAGTGCCCCTTGGTCAGGCATAGCTCCTTACACATTCCTGTGGAGAGGACTTAAAGCCGTCAGTCCCCTGGTTGCTTTCTTCACAGTCAACTAAAACCAACCAACCAACCAAACCAAACCAAACCAAAATCTGAAAATTCTGAAGAACAACTTTTGACAGCCTACATGTTCTACAAAACATTTAAAGAGAAGGTCGAGTTCTGGGAAGAGGTGAAAAATAATTTGTGATCGTTATCATTTTTATAATGCAAGTGTGGAAGAACATCAGATAAAAAATGTTCCCTGAAAAGCATGACTCTTCAAATGCCTTAATATTCAAAATATGGCATGTAACAGCATAAAAATCGGGGCAGATTTTTATGTCACATGTTTGTGTAGTCCCATATACATCTTTCTGTGTACAGTGCTTGTAACTTTACCAAGACTGGGCCAAATTTCTTATCATTTTGATGATTCCAGAACCTTGTAGTACACACCAATACTTATATGCTAGATGATCAATCTTTTCTGAATGATTCTAGACAGTTTCTTTCACAATGCAATTGCATGACCAGAACTCAACTTCATCTTTAAATACATCAAACTTTTACCTGTGCATCCTACGCCTCCTTTGAAAGCCAACTCAGGTACATTCCTGTACACCCTCGAAAGATTCCAGTACTCAATCACCATGGAACCGGCATTCCAGGATGCAACAAAGATACCCCCAATCAGCATAGATGCGGTCATGATGGCACCGACGGCGATGGGAGCTAGGATGTTACTGACGAGGTCTATACGCCTCATGTTTGCATTCATAACTAAAAAAGAAAAACGACATAAATATTCAGGCTGTGTACAAAACTCCTATGCGTATTCACTTTTCTGAGTACCTCTGTTCAATCTCTACTTAGAAATGTGAGGCAATCGGCTGCGTTCACAACAATGTCATATCAGTCACAAAATTCACCATCAAATATCATATTCATATGACCATCCTAAACCAAAATCAGATATAAATTATACTTCTTTGAAATTTTACATCAAATATTATAGTACTTTCTATCAAAATCTGGTCGTAAAATGTGTCTTGACCTTATACCCCTTCTATGCTACAGGTGGCAATTTCTCTAAAGAATTGAGGTGTTAAACATTGTAATTGGATTACAGTACATTTTTTTCCCCCAGAAACAGAAGCAGTGAACTTTACTCCAACTAACAATATTTCATGCCCCATTTATCAACGAACAACTGGTTCCAAGAATAGACTTCATTTATCAAACTTCATTTATGACAACTGGGGGGTGTTTCACAAAGACTAAGATCGACTTTAAGTTGGACTTAATTATGGAAGGCTGTTCATGCCATCGTTGCTCTCACAATTGGTCTCTCAATTATGATCTTTAGATAATATTTTTTACTTCAATAATGAATATTCAAAAATAATGTAAATTCTGTAGAGTTGTGACCATGATTTGTACATCCCTTGAGAGACCAATGCCAATACATTGTGAGAGCAAACAGTGGCATGAACGGCCTGCCATAGTTGAGCCCAACTTCAAGTCGATCTTAATCTTTGTGAAACGCCCCCCAGGAGTAGTAAACTCACTAGCAAGGACATCCTTGTCCCCACCAGCCACGACGACCACCCAATCCTTCTGGATACAGATCATCTCGGCAAGGCTAGCCAGTGATGCCACGGTACCGAGTATGATGATGATCAGCTGACAGATGATGTAGAGGCCACCATTCCAGATCTGCAGGATGTCCGTCTTAAGGATGAGGACTGTACACAGGAGGCAAGCATTGATCAGGACACTGCTGTTTTGGATGATCAGGGAAGTTCGGGCAGCTAGGAGAAATAAGAATGATAATTGTTCAAAGTTACATATCTGAAAGATTCTATGCTTTCAGGACAGGTGAAAGATGAAGAGACCATCATTGTTTCATATTTCATGTAGCACCCTGAAAATCAGACTATTACTTTAGTGATTGCAATCACTTAAGTCGATTTGACAACTAATGGTCGTTATTTTCACACTTAAAGCCATTTTCAAGCCCTTACGTTTTGATGGAAGTTCTAAATTAGTATTTTTGTTCTCTCTCAAATGCTTTAACTTTTCATTTTTGGGCCTTCAAATGGGACATAGTACCTTTAAAGACCGTCAACACTAATGGGCCAGAAGGGATTAGACCACACAGCGAGGTCACTGACAGGTGGCTATCTCATTAACTCAGCTCTCAACTAACATAAGAAAAAGAGGATCATGGGGGACCAACAGGCACCGATCGAGGAAGTTTTCTTTATAGAGGGAGCAAGCAGCTACAAGTAGGACAGTGGGGCTTTAAGATGCATGACATTTCATGAAAAAATGTTATAACAAATATAGAGAGAGATCTATGCTTCCCATTTGAAGAAGAAAAAGCGCTCAATAATCCAGGGGTGTGTTTCACAAAGATTCCAAGTCGAACTTAACTCTAAGGTGGACTTAAACATCATGGAGGGCCATTTGTAGTCTTAAAATAAAATATTCAAAAGCAAAAATTCAAGTATTTTAGACTTTTCATAAATTCCACACCAAGAACATGAAATCTCCCATGATAATAGAAAATATGAATGATTTTAATCAACATTCTATGCCTTTTAAAATGACTTTTACAAAATATTTTCAAAGATGCTAACAGCTTTCCGTAATTTTTAAGTCCAACTTAGGAGATAAGTTCAACTTGGGATCTTTGTGAAACACCCCCCAGCACTGGCAAAATTGCCTTCCTGAGTGAGTGAAAAAAGGTAACATCTAACCTCTTAATCTGGGCGTCTTATCAACCCATCTTCCAATGGCCGCACCAAAGATGAGAGACGAAGCGGAAACACAGAGTCCATAGATGGCCGTCAAACGGAGAGATTGTTCCTGGATCTCAACCAGGTATAGAGCTACAGTGAAGCTCCACATACGATCACCCTACAATGGAAGAAGAAAAAAGAAGGAAAAAATGGAATAACTTTCATAAATAAGCTATGATTAATTAATGTATGGATTATCTATAGGATTGAAAGAAAATCCTAATCGCTGTGCCAAAGTGACAAGATTTTATGTCAAGATGGGTCTACATTTTCTTAGAGGGTGGCGAAGTAGGTGAGATGCTGCTCTCACAGTTATAAGGCACAAGCTCCAGCACTACTGAATGGACTACATATAGAATAAAATAAAATCTGAATGCATGTTGAACTTTCCTTTTCTTTCCCACCCGTATCTTTCTTTAAATACTCTAACTTGTATCAATCATTCAGAACCTTCCAGTACCTGGAAGAAGAGAAGGAACTTAGTCATCATAACCATTGGGACTCTCCTTCCTGTACAATGAAACAGATACAATGTACAAGCAGGTATACTCCTCCTCAACAATGTATTCTGATTCCATATCATTCTAATAGCAGGGACCATATCGCCTAGAAAAAAGTTGTCAAGTCCAACACAAAGCTAGAATACTAAAAGCACAACTGCACTGAAGTTGGCTGAGAATTCATATTTAATCAAAAGTTACTGGTAAGTGCATGTCAAATTGTCAACTTGGATTTTCACAACTTGAAGAAAAAAAATTCTTCAAACCTTTTCATTTTTTGGGGTAAGAATTAAATTTATTTGTTTACCATTTAATTACCTTCTTTTTACCTTTATCTACCGGTATTTAGAATGAAATAAGTTGAATTCTTAACCTTGTCTTCATATTTGATTTGATTATTTTGCATATTTTTATGTTTTGTTATCTTTTGTTACTTGATTTTGTTTTGTGATATAATTTGTATATTTTTTATTCAGTCACAGACTTTTTGAAAATCAACCATTAAGGCTGAGAGAGTGACTGTGCTTAAATAAAATAAATGAAAAATATTATAAGTGACATTTGAAGCTGATATTTTGACAGTAGGATAAAAGTAGCAAATCCGAAACATGGCGAGCAAAACAATTTGCATGTGAGTCAGTGGTCCCTTTAAAGGGGCATGTTCCCTGTATTCCAGAGGGCGTTCAAAATACGTACCCGCTGGCGAACGGTGCCAACGGACACCAACGGAATACGGCTCTTACGCAGATGGCATGTTCCGAATGCCCACACTATGCCGATTATCGCATACGTGTGCCAAAGTAATACCAATCGCAGTTCGGCTCTAAGATTCGGCTGCTGTTTACGCCCACTTTCATGACGTCACGATCGGCAGCGTACTTGATTGACAGTTGTATGCAAATTAGAAGTCGATCTTCGGAACCAACATGGCGATGACTAGAGCAGCGATAACTACACTGGCGGGAACGTGCCCCTTTAACTTTCAGAAAATGTGACATCATATTCAGGATGTTTTCTAATAGGCCATTTTTTTAAAGTAATAAAATTCAATGCACAATCTTTGGTGAGTGCTTCGTTACAAATTATTGCATTTCACGTGTTATGAATAAGTGTAGGTAAGACATGCATTATGGCTTGTCCTACCTAATAACACGTAATGTATGCAATTCGCATTCTGACTATTGAAATAAAATTAGTTGTAACAGGTGAATGAAATAATTTTTAACGATGTACTTAACAAAGATTTGTGCATTAAATTTGATTAAATTACAAAAAAATGGCCTATTGTCTGATTGCTTACCCATGCAGATAAGAATTGACTGATATAAAGCATCACAGCATTGCTCATTATCCATTGGTAGAATGCTGCATAAGTCCATTGTGAGGATCCTTGAAGGCAAAAAACACAAGTAGTTAAGAGTGGAACGTCAAGGTGAAACAAAGTGTTGGCCATAGTCTTTAATCTGATACTTCACCTCTCCCAAGAAATGAAGTTACTGTGTCGTGAGATAATGCGGTAATAGTGACTGGAA